GGTGCAATAGGAGCGCGTATCCTGCAGCGTATTTTGTTGCTGTTGCTGCTGCTGCGCCTGAGTGCGTCGACGTACCTGTTGCAGAAGAGAGAGGGAGAGAGCGAGCTTTAATAGAAGGCAAAACAAGAGCAACTGAGTTCCACAAATCATAGCTATAAATAAGTGAACGTATGTTTACCTATATGAAAACTTCATTGCCAAAGGAGGGCTAATACGTGAAAGTATTTCAATTATAATGAAGTTCAGCTTAGTTCATAACTTAATGTTTAGTATATAGACTAAAGTTAATGACTACTTTGACATATGCTATATTGCAATTAACTTGCCCATAAAGTAAAATTATCTGTTCTATAGGCAGACGTATGTATACTGTATAAATATAAATGTACTTCATATAGTCATAAATATATAATTTATATTTGATACTTTAATATGATTTATGTATAGTAGCAGAATAAAACTCTCTCTTATAGAAACTGTCAGCCTCTGAATGCTAAAAATCCATATCAATTTTCTGTTTATATATTCTTAATTGAGAAATGTGTTATTCCACTCGACACTACGCAACAAGTTAAGCTGTAGGCTCAAGCGGCGTATGCGTAATTTGTACCATGAAGATTTCTAGGCATTGAACACAATTAGCATAATATATGTATATATGTATATGTATATATGTATGTGTATAAACATATATATATATATAGTTTCTTTCAACTCTTTCCACAAGCTATACAACTAGTTAAGCTAAAGTGGCGTATACTTAATATGTGCCGGCTGGGTGTCTACTTTAAAACTAATTTTTATTCTATTCTACTCTTAACTAGTAAAGCTTAAAGCCAATTTATCTGTAGATACCAAGGCTAGGCTTAGACACAGTCTCAAGCTGTTCACACTGATGAATAAAATATATATACACATCTTGAAATTGAAGATATCTCATTCTATTCTATAAGCTTTGTAAGCAGCTAAGCTTAAAGCTTAAGTGGCATATACTTAAGCTGCGTAGACCACAAAACAAAGACCACTTGGTATCTTCTTTTATGGCATCACAGCCATCTTCTTCTGTTCATCTCTTAACTAGCTGAGCTTAAGGACAAATTGACGTATACTTAATCGGTGGATGCGGTGGAAAGAGCTAGTTTGCTAGGTGTAGACACAGTCAGGGCAACATCTCAACCTGTTCACACACTCATGCAATTACGGACATCTCATGCTCTTCAGCAAGGCTCGTAACTAGCTCAGCTTAAGGCCAAAGTGGCGTATACTTAATCTTACGTTTTTAGCCCATCATCCGGTGCAATCAATCAATCAGCTGCAACGGCAGCTGCACAAAGGAGCGTGCGAAACACAAGGCAATGGCTACATCGAAGGCTATCTTTGATTTATGCACTGGCGCAGCAGAAGCAAAAGAAATTAAATTGCAAAATGTCGAACACAAATCAAAGTGCATTTGTTTGTTTGTCACACGAGGAGGCCACGCCCAACACCCCCGGCCGCCCGCTACCCGGAATTTATGGACCGTTTCAAGACTTGGCACAGCATCAAGGCGACAGCTCTGACTGATTAACGCCAAGCACAATTTGAAGCGGTTGGGTGGTTGGCCAAGTGTCAAGGGTGTTGCACCACTCATTCATTCAGTGGTTGCTTGTTGTTGGTTTTGTTTTCTTTCGCATTGGCAATCAACATTGCGTTTGTTTCAAATGCACGTCCTGTGGCTAACTTAATCCCAGTTTGTAGCAGCTGCAGTGTGTTGACAGCGGCAACGGCAACGAAAACTCATTTAGCCACCTGTCTATGCAACACTCTATGCACCGCCAACCCCACCTGACGCTGCCAGGCGCAGGGTTCATTTAGCAGCGTTCAAAAACTTTAACTAACATGTGAGTGTGAATGTTGTCCGCTTAGAACTTTGTTGTCTGTGCCACGCCTCGCTCGCCTTCGCCGTTGCTAATAGTTGGACGAGGCTCTCTTAGCTTGGCTCAGTTTGTGGCTTTCACACGCTGTGCTAGCCGGATGCGTTGCTTACGTGCTGGCATCAGCCGTCAAGTGTCTGTGGATTTGGGCCATGCTGAGAGCTGGCTGGCTGCCATTAGCCAAGTTCTCTCGTGTTTATTTAGTGGCCAATGCCAAGCGCCTTTTTATGGCCGCCCGACTCTAACAATTTATCGCGTGACCCGTAATTGCGGCTCTTGTGCCATATTTTGGCTGTTTCATCCATTTTGCTTTTTTCCGAATTAATCAAATAATGTTGCACGGGCGCAGCTATATAAAGATATTTATATATATATATATATATTTGACTTAGCTTATACTTTAGTGTCACTGCCGGATGCAGCATGTTCTCACTTAGCTGAACTTGCTAAGGCCAAAATTAATTATATCCGGCCTTTGGTGCGTTTGATCCGGGCCAACTCTCCATCTGCTGTTCATCATTTCGGTTCGGTTCGGTTCGCTTCGCCCATGTCCTTTTGACTTGTCTACCAATTTGTATCTGCTTAATACCCAATTAGTCCTTGGGGTATATAGCTGCCGGCTGTTAATTTATTTTATTTGTCCAGCTTAATATTTATAGACTTTGTCGACTGGCAAAGAGTAAAGCGCCATGCTTTTGATTGTGCTTATAAATTCTAATTCACATATGATTTAACGTCTAACAAATAATCTTTTTTATTGTGTTTCTGTATATTAAAAAACTCTTTTTGGCAAGCTTAGAAAAAATATTTCATACAAATTGTTTGCAAGCTTTGTTTCTAATAGAACTTTATCCAAAACTATTTTAGCAATTATTCCTAATACTTTAAGACTTAAAATTTATATTGATAGTAGCATTATCGATAGCACATTTATATGATTATCTAATATCTATTTGAAAATCCTTTTAAAATAACAAATTCATTTCACTCTACTACAACAATATCTAATGCGGATATCTATTTTTCCATTTCCCACACAAAGTTTTCCCTTTAGGGACGTATGCAAATAAATTGCATCTAAAAGGATTCAGTTGTTGTTGTTTCCGTTGCAGATGAAACGAGTTTTTTTTGCTGCTGTTGTTCGTTGTTGTTGTTGCAGTTGGTGTACTGAATTTGTAGTTCCGCTTATCCTGAAATGCCAATCTATGTGGTGGCTGCGTATTTTAACTTGTCATTACGCTCTCTTTGTCTCCGCCTCAGCTTCGCTGTCGGTGGCTTTGTCTCTTTATCTGAATGCCTGCCTGCTTATCCAACATTCTCATTAAACTTTGCTGTCTGCTTCGTTTATTGTGAACTTATTATGACATCGTGAGAAGTTTTGTGCGAGCAGCAAAAACAAAAAAAAATAAACTAAAACGAATAAGGATGCTTAAGTTGATTGTGCTCGACTAGGGGAATATCCTAGCTTAGGATAATTATAATAAAATTCTTAATTATGTTAAGGGATTAGTGAAATGTGAAAGCAGATAGAGCGGGCATCAGGCATACAGGGAGACATGCAGACTTAAAGACATAAAGACACACAGGCAGACAGACAGATACACATACAGACAGAGCAATACACAGCTAGAGAGATTTTCTGATTTACAGAGAGGCATATATATATATATATATCATATATCAGCGCTGCTGCCGTCTAACTGTTGCATACTTTCACAAAAGCCTGCGTATACCTCTTTCTTCAAACATTTCCAAAGGGTAGAGCGCACTAAAAAGTGTCCCATTACATTCCATTTGCAGGCGAAGCACCCGCAGTGCTCACATGTTACCAAAGTGTGTGGGTGTGTGTCTGTCCCTGTTTGCACACAAAATGTTGCAGAGTTTGTGCGAGTTTTTGCCGCAGACTCATAAATTTAACGTTTGGCATTTGCAGCTTTAAGCGCGCAGTGCACATTGCTGTGTAGCTGGGTGCTAATGAGGCCAGAACGCAGCAGGACGTATGACAAGGACAGCGCTGGCTCGCGCAGACTTCAGTTTTCGCATGCTCGTTCGCTGACATTACGCATACGCAACGTGTGACACATATATGTATGCAGCAGCTACATATGTGACACGTGATGTTGCTTTTGTGCAAAAATTGAATTTCGCCCCAGCACATAATTCAATTCACACTCATATGCACACACACACACACTCGCACACACACACTCAATCAAAATGCAGATGTAGCTGATAATGGAGGGACGACTCGCTGCTTAAACGGCACAAAAGTGTCCCATTTGGGGACAAGCAAAGATCTTAAATGGCACGTGGCGCGCTTTAGTAGATTGTCAGCGCTGCTGTCCTGCGTTTCGATTTGGCTAACGTATCGGGTTTGTTATGATGTGAAACTCAATGCCTGACTGCCTGAGTGCCTGCCTGAATGCCTGAATGCCAGCCAGAGCCTGGCTGTCAAACTGTTGTCCTGTTCGGCCATATTCCCCCTTGGACTCTATTCCAGTTTCACAAATCGATAAACATTGTGAAATGATATGAGAGCAAATCTGTGTGGATGTGAGTGTGTGTGTGTAGAGTAAAGAGGATATAATCAGATCGTCTAAAGAGCTTGTAAGGGAAAGCAGTGCAAATAGGAATCTGAGAATAGAAAAGTTGCACAAGAACAATTTCTGTTTTTATATGGAGCCTCGAAAGTATTGTAAAGGATGTTAGAGTAAAGCTGGGCTTATAGAGGATAGGAACACAGTTTCTTAGCATAAAAGAAATCTCTTAGGTAGCGGAAACTATGCAAGGGTAAATAATTAGGTATACACTTGAAGACCTAAGGATATGTTAAAGAAAAGCAAAGTATTAGGTGAGAATGCAAAAGTAAAAGACAGAGCGAAAAAGGAAAATCAGTTAATGAAAGAAAGGAAAAATTAAAGAATATGAAGACAAATATAGATGACGAAATAAGAAGAGCAAGCGAAGCAAGAAAAGGCAATATCTAAAAAACAAAAAATCATTTAAGAGAGATTAAAGTTATTTCAGATCATTTCTAAAAAGTTTTCAAAGCAGGCTATGAACCTTTAAAGCAATGTCCACTGTGCTCGATAATACAAATTATAAATTGTCAAAAACAAATCGAAAGAGACAGGGAGGGAGATAAAGAGGCAGCGGGAGGGATAGAGAATGAGAGAATTTGTCAGAGACTAGTTAAAATTCTTTAATAGCAGAGTATTGCTCAGATTATTTCAAATATATATAAAGCAAATATGGACGATCGTCATGGAAAAAAATGTAATTTGCAAGCCAGCTCAATTGCTCTACGATGGAAACCTCAAAGCTCGGCGGTCATGCAGGTGGTGCATCGAGAGCACGACGGCATCGAATTCAAGATAATGAACGAGCTTATGTCGTTGGAAGAGGCGTACAGGAATTACTTCAAGGATTGGCATCGCGAGCTTGACCTGCAGCGCTTGGCCTCCGAAAAGTTGTGGCCCATATCGCAGGATTTGCGTGACCAATGGGATTCCTTTTGCCGCGAGCCGCAGCCGCGCAACGTCGATGCCGAGGAGGTGTTAATCACCAAATATCAATTGCACTATCAGATCATCTTGGGCTCGAATCTGACCCTAAGTCGGGGCCTCGCAACCATACGCATGAATCTGTTGGGGCTGCGACGAGAGTACAATAGACTGGATCAAAGCGAAGAGACGCCGTTCATACTGGGAGACGCGTTCCACAAGCCAATCAAGTTCTTTATGCAACTGGCCGAGGAGTTGTTCAACTATTTCTACAGCCATTCCTTGAAGCTGGAGTGCTACTCGCGTCACTTGGATCCAGGTGATATAGACTCATTGGTTACCTATCAGAAAATGCTGCAGCCGCGAGAAGAGTTCGACGATTATCTACTACACAATCTGAACTACTGTCAATGTTTGCGTCCGGCTCTCCAGTGCCCGGAATATGTAAAACCTCAGCCGAAGGTCAATGACGATACACTGCCTGACACCAAGCGGCGCGCTAAGCTTAATCGTTGTCACCATCGCGTGCTCAAGATGTCAAAGGAAAAAGAAGATTCGCAATCGTTACAATCACTGAGAATTGATACATTGGAGCTGGATCATGATATGCGTATAAATCACCTGAGCTCACGGCTAGCCCAACTGCGTGAATGCAATTCGTTGCGAACACTGGGACAGGAGCGCAGTCTCGTCCAGCGCATGATCTACGCACTCAGCCCATCTCTGATGCCTAGCAATTATGTACCCACCGAACACGACCCTCTATAATTGTGTTTTATTACTTCATATCGTTACTTTCTTCTGGTTGTTGGCGCTACAGACTAGAAATTGTAAATTATAGTCGAACTGCTTAAAATATGCAGTTCGCAAATAAACACGGCCCGAAACAAATTTCCATGCAAATGCAATGAGCTTGTTTTTGCCATTTCCATTCCGACACGCAAGCTGCAAGCTGCAATTGGCCAGAGCATCGACTTTGGCCAGCCAACTGCACGAATGAAGTCGCTCCAAGTGCTATTTGCTCTTTAAGTGGGCTGGCAGCGCTGCTCGAGTTTATCAAATTTCCCAAGTTGTTGATCGCGTGATAAATTTGTATAATGGGTTCACATTGCAAGCGCAATATATCATAATTTGTTCATAAAATGTGGCAGGCGTCAAAGGAAACGCATTTTGCGCTCGTATAAAAACTTTTCTGTTTGGCTGTTGGTGTGAATGGACTTTTAAGTACTTGTCAGGAAAACGAATTATGCTGTTATTAGTTTTATATATATGGAAACTATGTTTGGAAACTATTCTTAAAGTGAATTTGCCAAGTTTTGGCTAAGACAAAACTTTGTGACTGCAACACTTAGCCAACTAAGCTCTTTTTCTTTGCTGATTTATTAAATATATATTTTTACTTATGTTTATCTAGAAACAAAACTTGAAACAAATAATTTTTTAAGCATTTTTATTAAATTTAAAACACTTCAAAGTTTTTTTATATTATAAATTCTCTTTGGAAAATTATATTCTATGGATTTCAAACTTTTTTTATTCACTTTTGGCCAAATGCTGTTTAACGTTTGTTAACAATACTCAGCAGTGTTTCGCTGAGCATATTAATGTATAGTTAGCTGACCAAAAATAGTTGCTGATAACGACCTGAAGTTGGTTACACATCGCGTGCCTGTAGGCCTATTATGTTTATCCAATTGATTTTCTTAGCTCTAGCTAAATTAAATTTGCAGTATTTGGTATTCAATGATTTATTGAAAATCTAATTGCGAAGTTGAGGTCATAAATTCTTTCAAAGGTAATTTATCTATAATTGTAAATTATTTATTATTATTATTATTATTATTATTATTATTATTATTATTATTATTATTATTATTATTATTATTATTATTATTACTAATATTATTTATTCAGAAATTGAAGTTGTGTTATATTATTCATTGTTATTCATTTTTCATTTTCAATTTTCATTTTCATTGTTATTTAATTTTTTTTGATTTTTGCATTTGATATATTGATTATCTCTTATAACTATTAACTCGTTAGGAATACCTTCAATAAGTTTCGCAACTCTAACTACGTTCTAGATTGGACTCTAATATCAATTGGTGGCTCATTGAGTATATTATATGCCAGCTAAGTTCTAAGTGCATGTTGCTAGATCGTGACACGAGTAACGCTCACATCTCTATGTACTACAAGAAAATAAGTGCTACGGCTAAAACAATTGATTTGAGGCAAATAAATATTTAAACAAATCAAAGCAAGCTAACTAAGCTCTCGATGATCAATCAGCCAGATGTTCCACATCTCATATATATAGTACTTACCGATCTGGCACCCGATGTGATGCGAGCGCTCTGGGAGCGTGTGGCGGGCCGGCGGCGTCTGTAGCCGGGCGTGCCGCCCTCGGGCGTGGCACTGCCCGAGGGCATGTTCTGAATGACCGTCTCGATGCTGGCGCCGGTGGCACAGATCGAGGCGCTGCGCGTCTTCTTTTGCATGCGATGATGCATGGGCGAAATGTCATCCACCATGATGCGACTCGACTCGACTCGACTCGACTCGACTCGACTGTATGTGGTTTGTTTTGACTGTGGTGCAGTGGTTACTACTGTGGTTGCTGTACTTGTTGTGGTGTTTCGTTTTGTTTAACAACTGCTAAAAGCTATTTGGGTGCTCTTGCTGCGGTTGCTGCTGCCACTTGCTGCGAGTGCATAATTCGCATTAACTGCAAATAAACAAAAAGAAGAGCAAGCAAAGAATGTCAGACAAAACAAAAAGGAAAATGTTCAAAAAGAAAATCTATTTGATAAATGTTTATAAATACAAATATATATATTTATACATCTGCTTGGCCATGTTTTCAAAAATAAAAAATCCGAAAATGAAAGCAAAAATTTGTGTTGTCGTCGCGAAAATGTGTAAAGCAACATGCAGCATAATTTGCTCTGTGATTTTTCATTTCACTTTTTTTTAATTTTCTCGTTTTCGTACGCCATTAAACATAGTTTCAGTTACGTCGCATTTGCCGCTTGTCGCATTCCCCCACTGCCCCTTTCGCATTTATTTTTAAAACATTTCACATAAACTGGGTCACAATCCGGCGTAAAAATGCACGCACTCAAGTGCGGGGCGGCCGATGGGAGGATCATGTGCATATTTGAAACATGTTTTCCCAACAAAAATATTTTATTTAATTAATAAATTATGTGAGCTACAATTGAAATTGCGATTGTTGTTTGCAATTGTAATCAAATGTTTGTTTGACCTGAAGGGTTATAGAAATATGTAAAATATATAATTTAATTATGCTGAGTAAGGGCTATCATAAAAAAGTAAAAATTTGGGCTAATAAATTTATCTTTTCGCCACATCAAAAAAATCTTGTATTAAGAAATTCTCTTCATTTATTTATAAAATATCTGTGTATATATTGTATATAGTAAAATGCTCTATTTTTGTCTATACTAGCCCTCATTAAAGAGGCACCGCCCCGCTTCTATGTGCTGGCTTTTCCTTTCTTAGTAGTGCCAACTCTATCGATTTACTAATCGAATTTCCGTGCTGTAGTCGAAACTCTCAAAGCTAAAGAAACAGAACACACACAGCTGATATGTGTGTGTGTGCGCTCTCGGGTGGTACGCGGCGAGTGCTTAAGTGTGTCTGTTGTTTAATCACGTAGTTTTTTCTGCTATAAATAAATGTTTCTTTGGATATGTTTTGCTTTCTTTTGGCTCTGTGCTATTTTTCTTGCATCATCCTAAACGGAACTTTCTCGTTTCTCGCTTCTTTAAACATTTCACAATTTATTATGTAAATAAATAGAAAAAAAAACAACAAAAGATTGCCTTTTTATCGAGGGCGCGTTGATCTAAGTGGAATGCCGCAAGTGGCAGGCGGCGAAGTGTTGCAACTAGTGAAGGCGCCGCTTGTTGCAGGCAGCAAAGTCAAGGAGCATAGGCAGCGAGTGCTGCAAAGTCCTGAGCACCGAGCTGAGTCCTGCAGAGCTTAATTGACACTAATTGCCATTTGCGAGGCCCAAAGTGCTTGCTGCAGCAACTAAATGAAATGAAATCCATTTCTTGGCCAGCTTTAAGCCAATTGCCCCAGGGGCTCGGGGGCGTGCACCAAAACTAAGATACAAATTGAATTTATTAGTAGGCCCAGAGGAGATTTAAAAAGAAACACACTGCGGATTTCGGCTGATGTTGCGGCAAGAGTCTTGGGCATTGGCAATCAAAATATATTTGTAATCTATTTAGGCTGGCACGCTTGCTTAGCTATGCAGCATAAGCTGCTGGCAATTCGTTTGAATCTCGTCGAGCTTCCAAGAATCGAGCTAACCTGGTCACTGCATAATCGAATTACGCATCAAAGTCGCTATGGCCCCCAAGACTTGCAGCTGCCAACAGAAGCAGTCGCTGGCAAACAGTTTAACGAGCTGTCAGCTGCAAAAGCTACTGCTCCTTTGAGTGAGAGGGGGATAGGGAACGTGAGAAGGAATAGAGCTAGACGTAGAGGCAGATGGACAGAGGGAGCCAGAGAGAGAGAGGACGCATATAGAGTTCTAGTTTCTTTTATAGTTTTAAGTTTATAACTTTCTTTCTTTATGATATTGCAGTAGCTTAGGTAAAGCAGGCCAAGCAGACTTTGAAGCTCGCACCTGAAACTAGTTCTGATCAAAGTTTAACAACAATCGCACTGGTTTTTAAAGGTATTTGATGTGCTGAATTCTAAACTGAAAGTCCTTTAAAATCTGTTACTTTTAAAAGTCTTATTTCTCTCCTCCAAAAATTTTTAAAATTTTTTTTAAATTTTTATTTATTCTTCTGAAATTGTTTATTGACTTGAAATACGAAACGGCCCCTTCTCCTCTCTTCTCCTTCTCTCTCACTCTCCCTTCTGCCTCTCTTTCTCCAAGTCAGGCAGTTATCATATGATAGCGCTACTCTAGTTCCAGCTATGCACTCAGCCTTGGGTCCAGGTCTTACTCTGACCTGTCTAAGCATTTTGTGTTGATAATTATTATAATCATTGTGTATTTTCGATATCATATCACTCACTTCATATATAAGTCTTCGTTTTATGAAATTTTGCAATAGATTTGGATGATTTTTGGCTACATATGGTGTGTAAATAAAACGAACATATGTTATCTAAAGCTTTTAACAAACTCGAGATAGTCAGCAAAAGCTAAAGCTATAAATATATGTTAAATCGATATTTATCGATTGTGCTCAAACTTATTAATTTTGTGCCATTGATTAGCGAGCAAACTTAGCAATAAATGAGCTCGACTTATGCAGGCAAAGAGACTGACAAAGACGAACTTAATCAGGCTGATAAAGCTGCTTTGTTTGTCTTTCATATATAGAGAATACTATAGATATATCCTTAAGCCCACTGAGCCCACACAGATGTGGATGGATTCCCACCTTTACACGCCTCCTGGACAACAAACTTTTAGCGTAACCTTCTTAACTTCTTTGCGAGACAAAGTCAAGGATCTCACTGCGTTCTTGTTTCTGGTTTCTTTGTTTTTTGCTTTGGCTGCTTCCTTGCAACATTTTATAGTAATTAACTTTTTGTTAGGGGAATGATTAAAACGTAAATAATTAAAAGCGCACGTTTATTTGCGTTGACTTGCTGCCAGCTGGCGGCACTTGTCAAGTGACGCTGAGAAGCCAATGCAAAGCACAGCACCCACGCATACACACACACGCACAAAGGGCAAGTGGGTAAATAATGCAGAAAAAGTTTATGCTTTGCGTACGCGGCGTATGCTTAATATAATACAAAGCGAACCCTTTAAACTTGGTAAGCAGTTGAAAAAGGTTTCCCTCTCGCTCTCTTTACAAGCATTGTCAATGTGACTTTACGCTTGATTTGCTACGAGAAAACCCAACGATGCATTTAAAGCAGCAAAAAGGAATACAATAGATGCCCAGATGCTGCGGCAGAGGTAGAGAAGCTGAAGCCGAAGCCGAAGCCGAAGCCAGTCGCTCGTGCATAAAGCTGTGTTGCAGATGGGCTTTGGGCTTGGACTTGGGCTTGGCTTGTTTGCATTCACATCAGGAGCAAAAAAGAAGGGCCAAAGCGACAACTAGATAAACTGGGGCGGCTGTTACGCCTCTAATTGCCCGACAATGTCCGCTGAATAGCCTTGATTGGCCGGAGACCCAAACAAGAAGGCAAGACCAAAGCATGTATGTGTGTGTTTGTGTGTGTGTGTGTTGTCCTTTTATAGCTGATTGTCGGCTTGTTGCTAACATTTTTGGGGCTTTTTTTGTGGATGCCACATGGTGCGTTTTCGGAAACATTTTTTATCTAGCGAAAAAAAAACGAAAT